ATGGTCGTGGCCCGGGCAGCGATTTCCTGACTTTATGGGCGATGGGCAGTGAGTTAGTACGTGACAGTGGGACGCGTCGAGCGCCCTGCGTGGCTAGGTGGCTACGTGACGGCTCAGCATGGAAAAATACGCAGCCCACACGTACCTGCACAATGTGATAATTTACCTTAAAATTCAAATAAAATACTCTCACATTTTGGCAGCTTTCATGAAGCTAGTAAAATTTTAGTCGCTCGTCGATCATCATATTGTGTGTGTTGTAATGGATAGTTTTATTAATTCGGTTTTAGTTGAACCGTGAAGTTTTATATTTTTCTGTGGTGTTATGATAATGTTGTACAACAAAATGTATAGAGTAGATTTTTGTTGGAACAACACCAGCTCTATTAAAAGTTATTTAAGTAACCACGATATCATACTGATCACACAAAACAAAGAAAGTCGAACTTGGAGATATTCTTTTTGTGCCAGATACGTAGTTCTGAGAAGTTGGCGGTCAAATAGTTAATAAAAATATTATAATACCAAGACCTGTGGGAATTCAGTAATGAGAAAACTTTTCTGTTGGAATTAATAAATTAGGGTAAGTTTTTAGGGTTCTATTGGTCGATGAACCTCTGTTCTGATATGAATTTCATGAGCTAAGCAAGTTGTTGATAGAAGAAACTGTGACCTAATTGACCTCGGTCACAGATTATGAACTAGTATGTACAACTTTAGTTTCAAGTACTTTGAGAAGCTTCGTAAGCTCGGTGACTTAATCATAATAAAAACATTTATATAATGTACTAACTTCTAAAATGACTTACAGACCGTCGATACTTGTTAACGGATTACTTGGGGTTAGGCATCTATAATCGTATTATTACATGTAATTATCTTATTATTAATTATTATATCTTTATTGTCTACGTTAGGTATTAATAGTTCAATATTTATAAGTAAAACCTAAGTTGTTTTCTTCTTATAATATTTTCCTTTTATTTATTTTACGATTTGAACATATACATGCAGGAATCAAGAGGGTAGTGCATCATGATCTACATATTATCATGTATCAGTGGCATTCATGAATGTTGACCCTATACAGTTAGGGTTGCAAATTAAATTAAATTTACTATACTCTTAAAACAGCTGTTAATAAAACATGTTGTTAGTGTCAAAGCTCTTAAAGACAAACTGTTTATTCATTATACTGGTTGTCTTGATAGTAACTACGGCACGCTACCTGCACTTTAAATGCCCATATTGTTTTCTATTTGGTGCACCGTTCATTTAAAAAGTAGAGTCTTTCACGTGTGGTTATAGTAGAGTAGATTGAATTTATCATCACTCCTACTTCCAGGTGGTATTGGAAGAGCCGACTAAGGGGCAACACATTTGATGGAAACCGAGTAGCATCGCTGTCACTAAACCATGGCCGTCTTATACAATAATTGGGGGCCCTTTTGGAAAGTTTTTTTTTTATCGTTGCCCCACACTAGGATTTCCTCCTGTATCGTGGGTGCATTTATTAACTAACCCACCCGACACCCAATACTGAAACAACAATTGTGGAGCCCACAAAGATTTGCTCCAAGCGGGAATTGAACCCGCTACAAGTTGCACGGTAACCGGTTTCCGTGTCCGTCATAGAAATTGTCGGTCCTTGGGGGCCCTCCGAGGATTCCCCATCCTCGGAGGGGATATATCCGAGGATAGCCCTGAGCACGGGGCCAGAGTACCCTCATGGTAAAGACAGTACTGTCTGAAACTTTTTGTAAGTATTTTGATTTACAATCCACTCTTGATCATGACCTTTCATCTAAGACTAGGACAACGCCCAAGCGTAGGGCGTGTCGCGTTCCGCGCGCGCCTTAAGGTGCCATCAGATCACCACAGATGGGGCCCAATAGGGTTGATGCCGATACGGAGCCGCGGAGAACCTAACGGGTTACTGGAGCTCCGGCTCAAAGTGCAGGAGCAGGAACGGGGTAGTTTTTAGTCAGTAAGAGTCTGACACTCCCTCTCGCCCTGACCCGGGCGGGAGAAGTTATTGAATGATTTTCCACCCTCAAAAAAAAAAAAGATTAGGACGACCTTTTTCTGTGTTTCAGTTTCAGTAGAAATTTCGATAAATCTTTCTTAGAGCTTACAATGGAAATGTAGATCTCATTTAAATTGCATGTAAGTATCATAACTTGATGGGCTAACTTAAAATCATCATTTAACTTTTAAATTGAATCTGATGAATGATTTGTATCCCTTAAATCCATTCAAATATTGAAATTGACAACATTATGTTCATTCAAAATTAGTCCATTTACAAAATACAATGAAAACACTGCCGGCTAGTGTTCGCGTAACTGTTCTTTACATTTACTTTGCTATCGTACAATGGTACAATGTTTACGACTCGACGAAATACCAGGCAGATACGGTGCGAAGAAAATAGAAGGTCAAGGACATAGCGTTTACTACGGAACGTAAGTTTCGGAACACTTACCTCCGACAAAGCTTACTATAACTGCAGTTCAGTCTTGTTTCAATAAATATCGCGAATGTTATTATATTCTGAATGATAATAAGCATCACGCTAGTCTTAAGATTACCCAGGATCGTCTATAAGCGCCGTGTGACGTATCCTGTTCGCGTCATCCGAATCCCGCGCAGCATATTAAACAGGCCACATTCTCTTATCTGCTTTCCATTCAAGATTAGCATAAAATAACTTAAGTTATAGGGACAGCATTATGGATTTAATAAGAAGAGTTATGAAAGAATGTTTCTATACAAAGCGGAGGGTGATATTGAATTTGAATTTCAAAAAACGACATTGCGCCCCAAATAATAATAAGCCTGTTACGAAATTCAAAGCCAACTCCAATAACCCGTTAAACCCTTGCGTCTGTGGAGGTTGGATTTATTCAATTGTTCAACAACATAGTGGCAATGTCTTGCTCTTTTAAATACCTGATCCATATTCACGAGACGTCCCCGGACGGGCTCGACTATGGCCGGTCCTGCTCACAAATTGTGTGTTATTGCGCTGCTGCTATTCCCTTGCTCCGTTTATTTGTTTAAATGAAGCAATTACTAGGTAATTAGTTGTTAGATTTCATCTTGCGTCAACAGTGGTTAGTAAGAAAGTGCATTAACATATAAAACGGGTGATTCACTTACTTATACGATTATACGATGGAAATATTTCTACGTAGGAAATAACAAAAGCAGATGTTCTTTCTACAATCGAATTGACAAACGGGCCTTGCGTTAGTCGCTATACGAGTAGATATGAAATGTTATGTGCCGTGAATGTACCACACAACTTGTTTGTTCGTACTGTTACTATACAGTTGATAAAACAACAACTGAGCTTCACTTTACAACTTCGTTTAACAACGAAATAACAAAGTTCTACTACCTCCGGCGTATCATGCGGAGAATAATAGATTTTTATTGTGGCACCAATCACCTGCTTACAATCTATAAATACGAGAAAATAACAGTGGGGATGCAAAATACACACGTTTTGAAAATAGAAGAAGAATATAATACGTAATTACTTATTAGTAACACAGTCCTGTTCATCATGTCATCAATCTAAGTACCTACCGAGGTAAATAAAATAAATGTACTTTATTTTTGAACTCCGTATTTCGGTTCATAAAATATGTAGTAGGCATAAGATGAAGATCTAATTTCTTGGAAAATAACACAACTAATGTACGCCACATTTTGAAAATCAGTTGCTTTTATAATAATAAAACCTTCCTATTTAGAAGTAACTAGTAATAGGTACATAAAAATATTTTTATGTTAATCGGGTTTAATGAGCTCGTTCTATTCTCTCTCTCTTTAAAGCTAGCCAGCATTCTATAAAGCTCTTTTATTTAATACTAATTTAGGTAGTTTTGATAAATATTCTTTGACTTTTTTGTGATCATCAAGATTAAGTCGTACGTACCAAATACAGATCGATCAGTCGTCAGCAAGGGGGTAAAATTCCAAATACTAAATTTAATCGAAACAAACAAACAGGGTAATAAAACCGCTTAAATATCGGTAATGGTGTGCGTAAATAATATCATCCTATATCCTGAAGGAATCTATCTTCCTTGTCTGAAGTCACCATGAACCCTTTTTAGTTCAGATCATATCTTTGTAAAGTAAATTTAAATTAAAATAAGCCTTGCCCTCGTGATAGAACTAACAAAAGAATTTCTTTTTTTTCATTAAGGTGCGAATAAATATTTCGGAATTCGCGTAATGGATGCCGCTTAGTCGGCGCGTCAAAAAGCCTTTTGTTATCTGGCCGTTATTTTTCAGGGGTTTGGATTCCGCGGACAAAGCGAAGCACATATTTCACAAGACTGTAATCTCGTTCCTAGTACACAGGACTCGAGCATTTTTACACTTAAGTACTGTTAATGGGCAGATTAACAATATTTTTACCTGTTACGACCTTCACATAGTTTTATTGCCCATAAATTATAGAGAGTAATTAAGGGCATTCCAAGGTTCTGATCGCTCAACGAGCACCCTCGGACGGAAACCATAAGTTATCGCAGTTAACTGATCTCCATGTTAACTTAGTTAATCTTAGATTAAGGACGTTACCACAATTGGGTGACAATAATTTATAGTAAAATATTTACTAAGTAGGTTATTGATATATACTCAAGTGATCGCATCCTAGTATGCATAGTGTATTATGTCTAGTTATAAATTAGTTAGGTACTACCAAACAGTCCCATTAGGGAATGCTAATCGTTGCAATAGGGTAACGAGAAATTAGCAGTGGATAATCAAACGACACCGATGTGATTTTAATGACTGTATGTTTGAAAATACATTTGTTTAATAACGAGATACGTGTGTTATATGTTAGACGTTATTTAAACGCCTCTAGGATTTATTCGAACCCTAATAATCTTGTTTAAGTTTTATCTTCTGTATAATAGGTATCGAACATTATTAGTGGTTGTACATTTTTCCTAAACCTTATTTCTTTGTTTCAGAAATCCAACATGGCAACTACTCCTGCTGTTGTGGTCAACAAGTGCAGTGATGATGAGCTGCAGTGGCGCTGAGATCACATGTCCCGAAGAGTGCACCTGTCGCAGTACGTTCGATCCGGAGGCTGGCGCAGCCGTGCGAGTCTCCTGTACGCGCGGTCACATGCGCCTCATTCCTGTCGACTACATTGACCGGAATGCAAACGTCATCATAATAGCTGCTCCACGCGACAAACCCAACGAGCTTACCATCGGTCCCATTTTTACGCAACCTACGCCATTCGTCAACCTCAGAGAACTCCACATCGTTAATTCCAATGTCCCATCTATAGGACAATATTCCTTTTGGGGCTTACAAAACCTGAGGCTAATAAACCTGACCTATAACAATCTAACCAGTATAGGTGCTGACAACTTCCGAGGACTCATAAATCTCACCGACTTGTATCTCGATCATAATAATATCGAACAAATGCCCAGTGAGACATTCAGGCATTTAACGTCACTGAAAACATTAACTTTATCGAACAACGAAATTACCATATTGGTGCCGAGACTGTTCCGCATGTTAGCGAAACTCTTAATCCTGGACCTGAGTCATAATCCGCTGGCTGAGCTGAACCCAGAAGTATTTAAGGATATTCAACATTTGCGGATTTTCAAGTGTAGAGGTTGTTTACTGAGACGCATTAATACTCAGATTTACCATCTAGTAGCCAATTTGGAAGAATTGGATTTAGGAGATAATCAATTCAAATATCTCACCTCTGACGAATTTATAAGTTTAAAACGACTTAAAAAGTTGAAGTTGGACGGTAATCAACTGTCTGTCATCGTGGACAACATGTTCGGACGGAACCGCGAGCTGCGCGTGCTGTCGCTGGCACACAACCGTCTCGCCCTGTTAGCGCCCGCCGCGCTCGCCAACCTCACCAACCTGACCCACCTTGACATCAGCCACAACAAGATTGATCGTTTTCATTTGCAAACCTTTGCTCCGGTTGTGGATTGCTTAAAAACTATAAATTTCAGCGGAAATAATTTAGCTCTGAATGAGATAGCGATTCTCTTACAAATTTTACCTGAGATCGAAGGTGTTGGTCTAGCGAATCTATCTCTCCCAGAGATACCGCCGAATTTCTTTATTTATAATGAGAGGCTAATTGCTCTCGACATCTCATGGAATAAATTAACTACTTTTCCATTTAAGTTGTTAACAAAAACGAAACTTCTTCAAAGATTCGATATATCGCACAACAAGTTGCAAACTCTAGGTGAAATGGATTTGCAACGACTAGAAGCAATTGCTCAAGTCAACTTGGTCAAAAATACATGGCACTGTGACCAGTGCTCAGCTGGAACGATGCTAGTTTATATGACTACGACTGTGCTTAACTCTACTCTACGTCAGCTGAAATGCTACTCCCCATTACGTCTTCGGGGAGTGAGCTTCGCTGAGATGTCATTTGATCGCCTCGACCCGTGTCCAAGTACTCACGAAGCGCAGATGAGCGTGATAGCTGGTCTCATGCTGCTGTGTGTGGCCGTGCTGGCGGCAGTAGCGGGCGCGCTGTGCTGCACGCGCCGCCGCGCCGCCCACTACTACACCAACGAGGAGAAGCGGCGCGAGCACGAGCACGAGCACCCCGACGAGCTGCTGAGCCACACGGAGCTCGGCAGTGTGGCCACCATCCACGCGCCCTATCACCTGGTGCCTAAAGGCAGCTAGCGCCGTGCCCGCTCGCCTACTGCGCAGGCGTCCTGCCCGCATCATTGCTCTGTAGGCGCGACCAGAGTCCAGTTTGAAGTTCCCGTGCCGTTGACCACTATTTCATCCCAAAGATACAAGTATCCGACGCATGGCTTCCCCGCGCCACCACCGATGTTCGACACTAACGATATCTGATACGAGTACGAGGACGACTTAGTATAAAGCCAAAGACTTTTGAGTGTTTTCTATTTAAGTAGGTGTGTCTATATTCCCTTCTAAACCTATGACTTATGTAATTTGACTAGTTAGGCCTCGTCTATGAAATTACCAAAAATATTTTTCTACAAGTGAAAATTTTATGTATACATAATGTTAATAAACTTGCCTGAAACAGGTCTAGGCCATAAGTAGCTTATAAACATTTTAGGTATGTTAAACTAAATCATTGTATGGATCATAGCTTTGTACATTGCTTTTTGATGAAGCTTTAGCCGAATCTCTCACGTTACACAAACCGTACGCAATATTCACTTGACGTTACATTACTGGTTAGATGTGCTGAACTGGCGACTAGTGGCGACTGTCACAACTTGCAGTGAATGCACATAGGGTTTTTGTTAGATAATTAATGTCCTCATTTACTTAAATTATTTATTATATATAATTAATTATTTGTAGAAATACAAGAAAGGTCAAAGCTTAAAGTATGTATGTGTATGTACATAAAAGGACACTGTTTTATATTTTGCAATTTTCAATCAAAAATGTTTTATTCTAAAGTTACAAAAGCGAGTATTGTTCAATTAAAAAAAAAGTAAGAACAAGAGACTAGATATTCAGAGTAAGAGTTAAAAATAAAACGGTTCTCTAAAAAAAGTTATGAATAGAATAGCTTTCCTTTCATAAACAGGGAAGTGAAGGTTCCCTCATATGCTAATACTCGCCTTCATCTTCGTTCCGGGAATTTTTCGTCCTTTTTTGACCTATCCACATAATACGCTTAGCGCTGGTATTTCGTAAAGGAGGAAAATCATTTCAAAATTCTGCATCTGTTTATAAAAAAATGGAAGACAAACATCTTTTTGTTCTGGCAAAGAAAAATGACTTTTGAATTGTGGACGAGACAAAAACACAAAACAAATGCTCTTTTTGAAAAGGTTACCTTTTGTTAAGCGGGCAAATAAGCAATTCGGCTGTAACATAATTATTTCATTTGACGATGACGAACATAAAAAATATTCACAATATAAAACCTTCTCGAACACAGGACCGCAATAATTATGATATCCTTCTTGTTACCCATGTACAATTACCCTTTCTATAAATATACCTAGGATAATTAAATTATCGTAAAATTTCCGAATTCCAAAACAATCGCCTACTTTCTAGTAACCTGCTTATAAAAATCAATGCTCATAAACGTAGTTATTAAATCTATGTGATGTTAAAATTTAATTGTAGGTATATAAGTAATAAGTATTTGTAAAATAGTGGCAAAGTGCCAAAGATAATTTATAATCTAAAATATTTATAATTATTATTAAACACATTAATTTAAAAGGACAACGATAGGTCGGCTGGTACCAGTCGGTATCCATTGTAGCCTTCATTTAATTACGAGCGCCAAATTGTTGTGACGTAATAAGCTTCATTATAAAATAGAATGTTACGGATCACGCGCACAAATATGTACATTACGTCACCAGCTCGAATAGAGCACGAGGACTCCACGTAACTGCCCTTTGAATGCAATCATTTTAATTTAGTTAAAACTTTTAAAGATACACTAAAGATATATAGGAATTTTGTCATACGTTAAATTGCAATTTTGTTTGTACATATTTGGTTAACAAAAAACTACTTTCAAGTTTTATCGTAGATAATAATATTGCCGCTGTAAATACCTGCTACACAGTGAAGTATTTATAAGCATACTTTTACAATAATTATTAAGGTTACTAATAGCCAATATACCTATACAGGGCAGCCCTAGTAAGTGCAAATAGGTACTGCTAACCATACATTAGGCTGCCGTGACAACACACTATAAAAGAACAAGTAATGGTTTATCTGAATAGATATTTAAACATAACAGTCACGAAAAAGGTTTTACAAATAAGGTTATAATTATCATTAGTATAAACACAATGCAGTATTATTATTTAAAGGAGCACTTCGACAAGGTTTGTATTTAAGTATAATAGTTACTCAAAAATTATCATGTTGGAGCGTTATGTGTGTTTCTGTATAGATTATGTAATAAAACATACTCGTATTAATTAAGTCTTGTTTCCATGTTGTTAGTGGTTTATAACTTTTAGTAATTAAGCCAATTATTAGGAATATATTGCACAAAGTATGACATGGTAACTTGTACCCAAGTATTATTCGAATATTTTATGTGTATGGATAATGTGAATACACAAAAATTCACAAATATACACAAAAGATAGGACTTGACCGGCGGAGACGTATAAATAATTAGTCGACTCCAGATGTATTATATTAAAAATAGATTCGGTTCCAATATGGTAAGGTTTGAGTATTTGTAATCATATTTAAATTTAATTTAAGTTAATTTCCAATGTAGTGTTGTGCGTAGATATTATATTATGTTAGTAGGTATATTTTAATTACTTAGATTTAATTCGTTATATAAATGTCCAATATGGTCATTTTATAATTATTTACAATGCGGATATCTTATGATATTTCTTTCGGTGGTACCGACTGAAAATAATTGTGTAGCTTAAGGTATTTTTTCTTTTATGTTCGTAGTTCTACATTTTTATGTAGTTCACCTTCATTTTGTAGCATTTCAGATTTGTGTGAATGAATGTGAGGCTCATTAATATAATCACTCAATCTCTTTCGGCCCATTCGATTGGTCAATAAATAGTTACAGATTGCCATTACATGCAATTCAGTAATGAACTAAATGTTCTCTCAACGAACCTTCTGAGATAAAGTAAAATATCATTTTTACAGAACGACCTTACCTGTAACTTTGTATTTTATTTGTACAATTTTAAGCTATTAAATTGTTTATTGACATAAGTATAGTTATTAATATAAATATATGTGTTGTAGGTACAAAAAATCTATAAAAATACAAAAAAAAATATGATGTTGTTTTCGATGTTTGCGTAGAATAAGATATTATATGATTTATTCCGGGCAGCGTGCACACACAAGCCGTTGCCTATGTAAGGTATAACACCAAATTGATTAGATGTATATAAAAATAGAACAAAGATATATTTTTCATGTAACAAAGAACTATTATATTTTACATAAAAAAAAACTAAAAAACACGTCAAAAAAAGTTACAATAGGTAGGCTACTGGTCGTTCCAATGCAGTGATTATGGATTACGGAAGAGTATGGATCCTTACCCAAAAAATGAAAATAAAGCCGTGCTACGCCTTCATTGTTCGAATACCATAATGTTCATGACTTCACGGGTGAATGGGTTGCGAAAGGATAGGATTGACTGTAAATAGTATATTGGAACAACTATTATTCATTAATGTTATTATTATCCATATTCATAATATATATTTATGTTAATTGATTTCATATTTTATACAGATTTTGTTATACCGAGGGTGTACCGAGGGTAAACTTTTTGGAAATTCAACTTAGGGAGCGGTATAAAGGGGACAAACCACTAACCACGCGGGTGGAGTCGCGGGCGAGTGTTAGTAATAATATATTCGGCATAATGTTAAGTTGCCAGAAACTTCTGGTATAAGCAAAATCTGTATAGCAATGTGAAATATTAATCATTAAGATGTACATACATACAATTCACAAAGGTAAAGAACACCAATTAGTTTATAAGAAAGGTTTAATGAGAAACCGTTTAGTATTTAAATAACGACTTTAGTTATTATAGCGTTACACATTTGACGTTCGCTTTGATAGTGTCCGCTTACAATTGTACTTCTTACCCCAGCTTCTGATTCCCTGACATAGGCTACATTCAGTGTAAGGCTATAATAACTCGAGTTTCCATATACACTAAGTAGAATCCTTATTTATACTTGTCGGAGTGTTCCATACTGTGTTTCTTTTAAAATGTACATATATACATATATATATGTGCATGAAAGTAAAGAAAAAACAAAAAAAAATAATTGTCAATTTGTGTTGTAATCACATACTTACCTTACATATTGTATTCTAATTGATGTATTACTTATTAGGTATCTTTTTGAGAACTTAACCGTTTTGTATGCTTTGACTTGGATTGTTTTGCTTTGAAGATTTATTTCCTGAACAATATTTAATGGGTTGCTGAATATATTTAAATGGACATCTTGTGATAAATTGACATATCCGTTCGGCTATTAAAATTTCTACATCTTGATATAACCACGTCAATCTCTTAAATGATCAAAAATTAAGCTGGTGTTTAACTTGTGGTATAAAATTAGTATTTCAATCGAATTTAATGGTATTGTATGATAAAATTCATACAATTTACTTCATAAGGACTTAGTAAGTAAGAATGTTATATTATAAATGATATACATCAGTATAATCAGGAATAATGTACCAATGTAAGTAGGTATCAATAGATTGTAACACGAAAGCTTGGTTCACACTTCACGGGGATACGTTTGTTCCTGAACTGAGGAAAAGACTGAAAAATTGATTGCATTAAAAAGGAAAGGTGTCGTATCGTAACGAGAGTTCATGAAAGACTAGAGGAACGAAAATTATATTTTCCTTCATTGGCTGTCGATAAACAATCTCAGTGACGCGTCAATCGATCTTCCACATTGGATTATGCTTAAACAATTTGAATGTTTAATTATGTCAACAATATCATAATATGTGTAATAGCAGTAGAGAGTATAATGATAAATATTGTCTTACTTCCGACCACTTCCGTCTATAAGTTTTCCACCTTGCAAAATATTTAAATATTTTTAAATTGGCTCTTTAGTCTACCAAATCTGGTACTTAATTAAATTAGAAAAGTTGTTAATAGCTTTGAATAAACCCAAGAACTTTATATTAATTTTTCATATTAATTGTTCACCTTGATTTTACATTGGGTAGGCTATTAATTACTGCCATTAATTGAATGTACTTCAGGAGCTATTGGAATAAGAAGTATTAGTCAGGTAGGTACGAGTATTTATCGGCCTTGACAGTTTAAATTATGTATATCAATTAGAACTGCGTGTGGTGAAATGGGAAAAAGACTAATTAAAATCACGGGTTACTCACGTGAATATACTGAGAAACGCTCTACTAGTTTCGAACGAAGAGTTGTGAGTGAGCTGCGTGACGTCGCCACGACCGCGCATGCTGCTCATGAGCAAGAACCCCTCTGTGGTTCGAAACTAGTAGAGCTTTTCTCAGTATATTCACGTGAGTAACCCGTGATTTTAATTAATTTACTATGTCTCACGATAGTTATTATAGAAACATGGGAAAAAGATTGATATTTGGTACAACTTTTGAATGGTGGGAAGAATGGAAATGTGCCACAGACATAAGTAGGTATGCAAGTACTTGAAAAGAGTTTGCAGAGAGTGAAGGTGGAGTGGAGAGTTTAAATCCTTGGAGTGCATGGAGTTGTGCGGCGGCAGATAATTTATTGATGGGCGTATCTTGCTCAGATCCATCCAATGTCGGTTTTTGCGGCTCACCCATAGTTATTCGCGGCATTCCTCGGAGTTCGGTTCGAAACTACGTCACCGCCATACTCAACCATTTATCGCAGGTTACTAAATTAACCTTATAAAAGACTAATTAGGTATTTGTGACTTAAGGATTTCATATTATTAATATTTTCTAATTATGTTTTTGATAAACTGATAGTGTCAGGCAAGGCTGTAAGCAGAAAAAAACTCTTTATTCCACATCTAAATGGCATGTAATAAAAACATTGTTTTATTGGAATGGGTCACTGACTAATTTTGTAGGCGTTTAACATCAGGTAGAGGCCCGATCGGGAAATAGAAAGTATAAAAACAAGTACATAAATAAGCCGTTTATTTGAAATCGTATCGAGAGAACTATCGTAAAAGCGAATATAGCACCTTCTGTAATAGCAACAAAGGAGTGAAAATTTATTGGTTTATCCAAAAGAAATCGAAAGAAAACACAGAAAGTTAGCAAAATAGAGGATTCTTTCGGCATTCGGGCCAAGCTCGTTCGTCATATAAACGATTCGATTCACTTAACATTATGTTACATTACTCGTTACGGCTGTCTGAATGTAGCTTTATAATGTTTCAAGGGTTAACCCAAGTAGCCAGTTAATATGAAATTTCTTTGAAATATATCTCAGTAATATTATTAATTTCGTATCCAAACTATGTCGGTATACGAGAGACGCTTTGAATGAAAGTTGTATGTATGGATGTGTGTCAGTACGAAAGATTAAGGTTTGTATAGTAAGTGATATACCTACGTTACCGGATGTTACCAGGTTTTTTGTGAAAAGTACCAGACTTGGGGGCGACTAATTTTATTATCTAGATAGTAATAATACAGGATTTTTTTGTCGAATAATAAAGCTGGGGCGGAAATAGGTAATATTTACGGAAAGCATTTTATTTGGTTAATAATACACTACAATTTTAGTGAATAACAATTTAAATCGTTGATCATGATGAGGTTCAAGTAACAGGAAAATAATAATAATTTAAAGAGATTCTGGAAAATAAACGGATCTCGTAAAACAGCGCGTCGCGTATTATGACGATAAGATTTGAGAGTTTCAAAGGGCCCTTACTTTCGATTAACTTGTATTATATTCTTCTCTCAACAAAACTGCGAGGTGGAAAATTATTTAGATGTTTCTGTAGCTATACGTACCCAACTGGCGGCTTACCGATCCAGGTACTTGACTACTTATTATTATCAATATTTAACCATTTATCGACAAAAATACAAGAAAACCAACAAAAAAATATCCGGTAGATGTATGTATACACTTTGTGTCCGTCCTTAGACGGGGGTAGAATTAATTATCTTTAGCTATTATATCAAATGTAATCTAAGTAGACGGGTATCGATCATATAAGATACCTTCATTTTTATTAATGTCTGATACGTATAATCGATTTTTTGAATGTAATAGAACATACATGTTTGATGTCCGTTATATTGAGATTTACTGAAAGGTTGGTGAAAGCTGAGAAAGAACTGTTATAGCCTAAATGGAATAATATTATTCGATGATGGTTTAAAATACCTTATAGATTATATTGCTTATCTTGTAGGCAATTATCCGAAGTATTGTGCGGGCTACGATAACCGCTTAACGCGTAGAGGGGTGCGCCACGTTTTCTGTGGTTCTGACAAATATTCAAATCAAATGCGTTCACACCATCCTATTTGAAATCCATAAAAATCAATTCCACTCAGGGCTGAAGTGCCAATGTGATGTGATAGAGTACCTACTGACATCTTGAGTTAAGTGTTAAGAAAAACAAACGAGATAAGATATCTAAGTACATAGGTACAATAACAATCAGGAAATGTGTCTTAAAATTAAAATAGAAAGACAGATTCATTTCTACTTGCGAAAGAAGGCTTTCTTTGCGAAACCGAAAGAATGTGTCAGAATATAACCGAATCGGTGTATCATTTTGACAGGACCTAATAAATTCGACCATAAACATATACACGTAGATGCGAGTCTTCATTGTGCACAGCAAAACTATAGCTATAGCTTAGAAAGTGTATATTTCAGGCATTTTAGAAAATGTATTTTCAGCAAGGCATTGATGATACAAAAAAGAAATATCTTTGTAAGGCCTAACATTTTGAAAAGAACTTCATGTTTCATTGTGTCAGTTTGGGCTCGTATCAGAACGTCCTCGTGAAAATGTTGTGTAAAATGTCTAAAATTGAAGTGATTTTTATCTCAGCTCTCACCGGCCTACTATTATAAATGGTGTTGTATTGTAGACCTGTGGAATTATGTTTAGATCTTCGCATGCACTTAACAGAATGTATTG